TATTTTAGATTTTTTATATTTAAAATGAGATGTTTATCCTGTATTTGATTGTGTTTATCTGCAGTTAGTTACACGAATTCAGATATGGAATGAAATCGGATAGAGATGAAGGGATTTAAGAGTTTTTAAGAGTTTAAGAGTTTTAAGAGTTTTTAAGAGTTTTAGCCAAATGCTTTATAATATAGTATAGATATTACTAAATACACCCTAGTTTGATATATAATATTAATATAATATTTGTTTTAATGGTTATCACCGCTAGTTTCGGCTGCCGCCACCACCGGCGGTCACCAGCGGCCACCTCCACCTCCTCTTCCACTACAACAACATCCTCCACCGTCCACCATCGTCCGTCGCTACCTCTACCATAGTCGCTCACCACCGTTCATTGACACCACCACTACTATCGTTCACCACCTCCAACTCCTCCTCTATTACAACAACCTCCACAACCACAGTTGACTACCGACTACCCCGTTCATTACCACTTTTACAACCACCACCCATTACCACCAACACTACCACCGTTTGCCACCTCCAACTCCTACTATACCACAACAACCTCCTCCATGACCTTCACAACCATCGTGGACCACCGACCACCACTGTCCATTGCCACCTCTACAACCACCATCAACCATCGACCACCACCGTAGGCCACCTCCAACTCCTCCTCTACTGCAACAACCTCATCCACGATCTCCACAACCATCGCCGACCATCACCCACCACCGTCCTTTGCCACCTCACCTCCACCATAACCACCACCACTATCTTCACTACATCAACCACAACTAACTCTATCATTGTCAATCGTCACCACCACCACAATCCACAATCTTCACATCCTCTATAACCACCATTGCCTCTACCTCCATCACCACCGTCGACCACCGACCACCACCGCCCATCGCCACTACTACTGTCAGTCACCACCACCTCCACCATAACCAACACCACGTTCACCACCACCACCACTACTACCATCAATTATATCAAATTTATCATTCAAATTTGGTACCATTAAATATGTATGTATTCATTTATATGAAAATTATGTAAAAATATTTACAAATTAAATTCTTTAATTATTTATTTTATTTGTGTTAATTATAACTATTATTATAATATTTAAAATCACCAAATAACTTTTTGGGGTAACTTGTCTAGTTTTGTTCCGTTCGATCTTAGTCGTACCAAACACCAGACATACACGTGTTCTGTCCAGTCCTGTCATGTCTAGTCCTACCCTCTTGTCCAGTTCAATCATGTCCAGTTCAGTCATGTACAATCATGTCTGTGTACGAAACACTACTTAACTGATTCCTTTTTAACGGATTAAAATGCAATCTGTCTTGGTGTGAATCTGAACCTTAATCTAGTTTGATGACAATTGGTACCACAGTTGGTATCTAGTGGTTTCAAAGTTTTACTTAGTGTGTTTTGAGAATCACATTGTATATCTTGGTGTATTTTTGGTATCACATGTTGTTTGTCGGAGGCCGGAGGTAGAAGAGATAAAAAGTTTAAAATACCTAAAATGCTCTTTAATTATAATTTTAAGTCAAATTACCAAAAATATTAGTTTTCTAATTTATCCATTGATTTGTATTTAAGATTGAATCTTACAGTTATCACAAACTAATCAGTTTTCCTTGAATTGACCCCTATATATATATATATATATATAGAGAGAGAGAGAGAGAGAGAGAGGACGTTTCAAATGCAACTCATTACATTTGTGCATTTGTACAACCAATGCAACCCAATCAATTGAGATATTTATGAAAATGATGAGAGTTTATTTATTATGACTTGAATATTTATGGAAGATGATTAGAGTTCATTAATTATGATTAATACTTTATATTAAGAAACAATCTAAACTTTTATAAAATTACATATTTATCAAATTAAATGAACGGTTAAGATTGAGTTGTATTGGTTGTACAAATGTAAATGATTACATAATAATTTACCTCTCTCTATATAAGTGTTATGTGAGCCTTTTATGCTATGTGGATCCATAAATTACCATTTTGAACTTTCCTTGAGTTGTAGCACCTTATATGTGGCTTGATATATATATAGGGTATATTTCAAATACAATCATGTTCATTTGTATAACCAATGCAACCCAGTTAATTGAGATATTTATGGAAATGATGAGTGTTCATTTATTATGATTTGAATATTTATGGAAGATGAATAATATTCATTAATTATGATCAATACTTTATATTAGGAAACAATCAAAACTTCTATGAAATCACATATT